TCTAGACTAGAGCACATGATACTAATAGCGATAGAAAAGAAACAAATAACTAGGTAATGAGTTTTGTAACAAACCATGAAAATCAAGAAGGAACGGTTCGTTCTCTGAAAATGTTAAGGCTTTAGAAATTTTCAATTTCAGACCTTTTTGATTTGCTATTCCTTTTGAAAACTGTGCGATATCAACCTCACCTTCGTAGTAATGTTCATTTTGCAGAAGCACACCTATATCGAGAGGCGTATTGTCTGGATTGAAGTAATGCACCAGGAACATGTAATGCCCACGTCCCGGAACCACTCCGCTTATATCAAGGGTACCCTGTAGCAAAGGTTACCGTAGTCTCAATGCGCTACACATAGTACGTGAAGTTTGTGGTGAAGTTTGCGCAATCGTAAGCTTACCTGATTCTCGTCCAGTGGAACTACAGTAACTTCTTTAGCATGCGCAATTGGGAATGGTAGCTTATCACCAGTGATGGCATTGTCCTGAATGGTTTTGTAGTTCACTTTTAAGAGATATTTGAACAAAGTCCCACGAACGACCAAACTAATCTGTTACCTGATTAACGCCAACCTCCGCCTCTGTAGCAATAGAATTACCAGCTGGAGGATGCTGTTGTGGAACACATATACCATCTTTTCGTACGCAAACTGGTACCTGAAATACCTTGGTTCGTGTTCGAACTCAGCTTTTGTTCCAATCAGAGCTTGTGTGTTCACAGCATCGCGATTGTTGATCATTGGCAAATGATCATTGAAAAGTTAAGATTACTATTCGCTCTTAATCCCAATATACAAAACCCTTTTTGCTAGGATCCTCACGTGTTGACTTGCCCAGTTGGAAAGATAACAGCCTTACCCTAGGTCTATCTAAAAGATGACTAACCTGTTGCAAATATTCATTAGTCCATCTATTCTTTGCCACCAGGTTCACCGCCGCTAACCCAAATTGAGTCATTTTTGGGATATGCAACTGAACGGTAGCTGTACCCTTTTTCAACGGCACAGTTGCCACCTCACCACCGTCAGTGACCACCTCACGGCAGAACGTTCTGAAAATCAGCAAAATCCAAAAAAATGGCAGCATTTTACAATTTTGAGAGACTTACGCAAAGGGGCAGTGATGTACAGTAATAGATCCATTCACATGTATGGTATCGTTATCTTGTTGAGTAATCTCGACCATGATTGGAGCTTGGTACTTATCTGGGTTATGGTACTCGATAACGATGGCGTAATCATAATCCTCTGGGACTTCGATGTTGCTCTAAAAACGATGTTTTGAGTACTCAGTCTCAATACTTAGGTAAGTTCACCCACCTCAATCACTTTTTTATCTTCTCCAGCTTGAACATGTGCAGCAGGTCCAATAATTTCTGGTAGGATCTCCACTGGTACCTGGATAGCATA